TTTTATTATAATTTAATTTAAGTTTAATAATGAAATAATTTATTTTTGGTTTAATATTCTAAATTTTATAAAGATAATAATTGAGTATTCTCTTAGAATTCAATGACTATCTTAATTATATTTTAGATTTTTTATATTTAAAATGAAATGTTTATCTGCAGTTAGTTACACAAATTCAGATATGGAGTTTTAATAAGTTGTACTTACGCACAATCTACTTGCAATTTTGAGTTTTAAGTAATATGCATTAATAAACAGTATTTTGTATATAAAAAGTGGTTTTTAAGAGTTTTTGTCAAATGTTTTATAATATAGTATATATATATATATATATATATATATATATATATATATACACACACACACTATATTATAAAACATTTAAAAACTATTTTTTATGCACGAAGTATGGTTTGTAAAAATATGGATGGTTTCCATTTGATTACTCCTCTCTCTCTCTCTGTGTATATATATATATATAGGTAAGATCTTTTGTTAACCAAGAATATAGTGTTTTTAACTTTGTAAACTTATTGGATCAATAACATTAATTCTTTTTAGTTGAGATTATTTCAAATATTTGATTTTATGATGAAGAGTAAATATGTAATTTTTATGTAGAAATTACTTTTATGGTATTTAATGAGATATTATAAATTTTTATGTATAACTTACTTTTATGGTATTTAATGATGTTCATAAGAAAGTGTTCACAACATAAGCTATTCATAAGAATGTGTGCATAAATATAATGCGGCCATAAGATTGTGTCCATAATCATATGTTATTCATAGGTGTTCAATAAAATCTGATGAAAATAATCCCATTATCCATATTAACGAACATAATCATATTGTCTATAAGTGAACTCATGTTCATATAAAGAGAAATGCTCGTGTGTATATTAATGTCCATAATAATGAAGATTTTTTTTACTAATGACAATAGATTAATGTTCATATAAATATTAATGCCATTAATGGGCAGTTACAAACTTTATGATTTTTTTTCAATAATACCTTTTGTTTATGTATGTTCATCTTAGATGATAATGTATTATATTATTAGTTATTACAAAATTGTCATCATAATTGTCATCCATTGATTCACAAAATGAATGGTTGTAATGCGTTTACAAAGTTAATATCATAAATTTGGTTAACAAAAAAACTCACCCCTATATATATATACACACGTGTGTGTATGTGTGTGTGTGAGAGAGATTTTATCCTATTGGGTTTTGTTTTATATGAGATAAAATTTGAAAGAAAAAGGTTGGTGTGTTTACTTGGTTACTGGTTCGAAATAAAACAGAAAAAGAGAGCTTGCGTATTCATATCTGATTTTGTGGTTGTTTAATATCTTCAATCTCTTTGTGATTATAAGGTGAGTTTTATTTTATAAAACATCATTTGATTAGTTTTTTGGTGAAGAAACCATATGGTTTTATACGTGGGTATTTATGATTATATGTTATTTATTAGCATAATTTTGGTTTTGGTTTGTTATTATCAACTGATTGAAATATGGGTGATATAATCAGGAGCTATGTATTACTTGGTAATAAGGGTGACATAGTCAGGAGCTAGGTGTTACTTGGTAATAAGGGTGACATAATCAGGAGCTAGGTATTACTCGGTAATAAGGGTGACATAATCAGGAGTTGGGTATATCTTTGTAATAAGGGTGGCATAATCAGAAGAATTAAGTTCCACGTTGTTTGATATTGTTCATGTTTGTTTCACCTTGTTCTATAGGGTAGGGCGGAACAGGTCTGTTCCACTTTGTTTGATATTGTTCATGTTTGTTCCACATACAAGTCCTACCAAACGTGAAACAATGATCAATATTATGTTTTGTCATATCTTGTCCAGTATATCAAACACATCTTAAGGGTTCGTTTGGTTTGTAGGAATGGAATAAATTTGGAGGGATTTGGATTTCAAATCCATTTCAATCCCATGTTTGGTTCATAAGATTGTTCGGATTTGAAATCTCACAAACATATGATTTTGAAATCCTAATGAGATAGTTTGGATTTCAGAGGATTTCGTAGGATTTTTATGTAATAATATTTTAAAATATGTTAAAAACACTTATTTTCTAATAAATCATTAGTAAAAAGGTAATTTGATTATTTTTATAAATATTTATAATTTGTTTTTATAAATTATTTATAAAAAATATAATTTCATTCCATTCTAAATTCATCAAACCAATCACACCAAAGATTCCAAATCTCAATCCCTTTGATTTAAAATTCTTCCACGAAATCCAAATCCCTTAAAATTGTTCCATCAAACCAAACGGGACCTAAAAGATAAGAAAGGTCAAAGATCATGTTACTAAAACTTTGCATTATGCACTAACGTGCGTGTAATGTGGCATGATACGTGAGCTGCAAGGCACGTCGTGCCACAACGATCAACGGCTACCATGACAAACTCTTTAAGACACTAATATTTACACATATACATAAATCTATTTCTTTACCCGAATTTAATAAAACACGACTTGGTCAAACAATAATTATTCAATAAAAGTACAACTCGTTCACAACCATAATATTGCTCTTTTCAGTTGCAATTAGGGTTGCATATGGGTTTGGTTGGCGGCTTAGATTGGGTTCAAATAATCCTAATCCAATTTAAATCTATAGTATAGTACTGCAACTTCAACCCAATAGAGGTGAGTTGACATAATTTTGTATCAACTATGTATTGGGTTGCCTCGGATTAAGTTTCTTTGAATTTATCGGATTGCGTTGGTCTGATTGATCGGTATTTTAAACACCCTTGAGTACAATAACGTGTAAATTTGATTAAATGGATAACAATTATTGTATTCAAAAGAGAGCAAGATACTTACCAATATATTTCTAATAAGATGACATAAAGAAAAGTTAAAACAATGATTGATGTTTGATACAAACGTCAAACTTAAAACTAAATGTTCAAAAGATATTAAAGCGATATTTTTTTGTTATCTATGAGTAGTCAACCAGCATACCGCACCTCAATTAAAGCAATTAAATTTCTCGATTTCCTCATTGCCAACAGGTTAGAACTTCTATGATGATCCGATGAGCTATTAAAACCACAGTTCACCATATGACGTATCGATTTGTGCTAGAAGTGATTTTACTGAACGACCTATATATGAACACCTCCATGTATTTTTTATCTTTTTTTTTTTTTTGAAATAATACACCTCCGTGTATTTAAAATCTAAACGATACATAACATGTACATAATTTTTGTTCTGATTGAAAATGAAAACGAACAAAATTGAACATTTTACCAAATGTTTCATTGAGTTCTAGTCCTAGTGGAGCCCAACATAGTCTTACATTGGCATGAAATGTAGAACTGGGCTGCCAAGTTGAAGCGTCAAGACCTCGGTGTAGGTCCGGGATACCATTGTTAGGTTACGGTTCTCATTTGCAACAAAACCAAAAATGGTAACGAAGAGTAAATCGGGTGTTCAAAATTCCTCTTTTTTGAGTAATCAAACTTGATGAAGCGGATGAACCAAAACTCTTATTTGTGAAATCAATTTGTATACGGTATCAAAATGAATAAATCTGTTACTCAACATGACACGACAAGAAACACCACCTCATATTTCTCGGGTTGATAGACACACACAAAGGAAGACTCAAAAGTAAGACTTTTGATCTTTCAAAGCTATAGAAAACAAAATCCATGATGACATCTTTATACAAGAGAGTGTTATCCTCATGTTTTTTTCCTTCCTCTCATTTGACGTGTCTCATGCACAACCATTAAAACGAGAAATCATATCATACATGTTCTTTATGTCTCATCTTCTTCTGTACAACTATAAATATTATATTTGATAAGTAAATGAATTTTATTAAAGAAAATTAAACAATATTAATTTATATCAGGTAAACATATTATTTATTTAATATTTAAGGCTTTTAATAGTTTAATTATTTAACCTGAATATTTAATTTGCTATGCGAGCCGATTAATTTCAGGACGATCACCTGCTTTGCAGGTAGTCTGGAATCACCGTATTTGAACCTACACATTTATCTGTTTGCATATTTGTTTGTGATTGAAAGCGACACCCACCCCCAAGCCAAGGTCCCAACACCAACTTAGTGACTTTTATTTCTCAAACTCTTTCCTCTTTTAATTATGGTTCTAAATAATTTTTTGTAGTTTTATTCCTTCGTCACGTTAATCATTGTACCTTCACTTTAAGGTTTCTCTTGTGCTATCAAGTGTTACGGCACGTTAGGATGCATTATTTTATATGGCATAGGTTTTTTATACCTTTTTGATAGATAATTTTGAAGAGTAAATAATAATTATGTACGGGATACAAGTCTTGATAAACATTAAAAAGAAAAACTTAAAAACTAAAACCAAAATAGGTAAATCCTTAATCTCGTTTTCATACATGGATATTCGAACACGAATTCCTTGAACGTTAAAAAAAAGTAGCGAATAGAGCCTCAAAAGACTGAATCCCGATTTTATATTACAGATATCACTTTCTTATAAAATCTGTACCTTCAATATAAACAATTCTCTTATTTTTGGTTTTGTAACTTTATATTCATGTATAAAATGTTTATGACATTACTCAAAACGAGAGCAAGGTTTGGTTGGTTTTTCATTAAGTCATGTATGGATAAATTGTCTATGCAGATCTGTCACTATAAATTAGGAAAGTTTTTGTTTGGAATGTGTTTTTTTTCCATAGATGAAAAGAACCTTGTTTTTAAATTAGATAACTCATACTTGAGAAAAACTCGACTTTCCTTATAAAAACACCCCTAGAGGCTTAGTAAATAAGTCAATTTTTATATCATTAAACCATTACCAAAAACATCCTTAAAAGCTTAATGAATAAGTCACTTTTTATATTACTAAACCTCTACCAAACGGTTTGGATGGTTTAATTCTTATATTTTTTCTAAGGTTAAAAAATAACTTCAAATTAAAGCTTTAGTTTCATACAAATACTAAAACAGAATATCAAAACCATATTATTCAAATAAAATGTAAAGAAATTTCAACCAAAGTTTTCATACAATATTTACACCTACACAAAAGTAGTCGTATTTCCAAGGCCAAAACCAATTTAGCCGCTTGGAAAAACAACAGTATTCATAACTGATATATAAGTGATAAAAACCAATAGCATGTAATATCCGATCTCGTCTAAGGGTAGCGTTTCCACGAGTTATCCTCACGGTTGTTCCTGAACGCGCAACAACCAATCGTGTAAACGATGATCAAAAACACCAGAAAGATGACGTTCAACACGGCAACCTTCTTCCAATCGCTCTTTATGTTGTCCAACAGTCCAGCCTTGCACGATTCACAGTTGAAGCAAAGGGTGTTCGGGTCATTGTCCCAAGCATTACAGTCGCGGTTTGAGGACGTTGTGGCCGTCTTGGTCCAGTTTGTCGGAGTTACATACGTGAAATTGCATTCGTCAGATGGCTTGCAGCAACCAGACTACAAAAAACACACCATCAAGCAATCAACATCGACCAAACTAAAATTAAAAAAGTCAACTAAGTATGTGGTCAATATCTTATTGAAATAAGCCCATCATATCTTAGAATTCACATGACTGAGTCACCCCTCCCTCTCAAACAGCTCAATTTTTTAACCACTTTTTTCCTATCATCAGAGACAAAGTCAACTTTTTAGCTTAAAAGGCTGCTTACTTTAGACTTAAACAAAAAGAGGATCACTTTTTTCCTCTTAAAAAACAACCTTTTTCCACTTGAATTACTAGTTAAGAATGATAACTCCTAAAACCAATTGGCTGTGTAATCTTGAGCAAATATGAATAAAGGTAAAAAAGATGTGATTTTTTCTTGGAATTGTGTAAAAAAGATGAATTCGAAAGGGTCATTATAGTTGTAAGAATCCCAAAAAAGACATGATTCTACCATGACTTTTGCAGTTACCAAGATCTTTTTGAAGGCTAAAATCAAGTGCAGTTACGAATCTTCATCATCTTGATGACAAAATCAAGACATCTCTTGTTTTGTATAATCTTTCATTGAAATTGGTCGTTTTTCCATTGATGTGCATTTGGGCATTCAGAATCTTGATTAAAAACATCAATCTAACTTTGATGTTGACCCTGTTTTTAAAGACTTCAAATCTATAGTACAAAAATTCTACGGTACCAATCAGTATCAACTAAACAGATCCAAAATTATGTTATTGTAATGAATCAATCTCAGATCCGTAAATTTGCAACAAGATAAAAAAAATGAAGAAATTATGATAGAAGGGCAAGAGATTCACATGATGAAATCGTCAAAAAATTACCTGAATAGCAGAGAGATGTCGGGCATAGAAGGCGTTAACCGAAGGATTTTCAGATCCATCATCAATCAAGCTCTTGCAAACCTTACTATCCTGTAAACAACTCCTAATCTTATTCCAGTTTCTGTCACTGTTAACCCGCTTCTGCAACCAACCAGAATAATCTCCTAATCGGTATTCCTTATACCCTCTATCGGACAACGCTTTTCCGGCGCCCTTATTCGTGACGGCGAAGGCGAAGATCGTGAAGCAGAAGAGTAGAAGGATGAGTAGAAACATGACGAGTAGGTACACCCATAACAGCCACGACACGCGGCAACACGCGCCGATGAGTCCGGCGAGTGAGACTATCATGAGGAAGACACCGAGTGCGATGACGGGTCGATCGAGAAACCGTTCGCACTCGGATGTTCCTTGGCGTGAAAGCCATATTCCGCCGGCCAAGATGGGGATCGATAGGAGGAATGTTACGAAATTCAGTATGCCAACTAAATTGTTGCTTATCCGAACCATGTTTGCTTGATCTCTCCTTTATGATCTTTTGAAAAGTTTGTCGACTTTTTGGATGATCAATTGGTGAAAAGATGAAGAAAAGGTGAAAACCCAGTGGGGATTTCGTCGGCAAAAATTGGAATTTAACGGAGAGAAAGAGAGAGACTGGAATGTGGAATTCAAAACCTGCAAGGCTGGCGTTTTGTACTACTGGTTTGAGGGATAATTTTACAAAAATTCCCCTGTGATATGACTTTGATGCAAAATAACCCCCTGGATTGTTCGTTATGGTAATCGTCCTGATTTTCAATTTATTTGGGTCTGATTTAATAAAAAAAAAAAGACTTTAAATTAGGTTACGTGTGACGTGTTTTTGGTGAAAACTTTAACATTAGCAAGTCTTATATTATAATGATTGTATAGGATGGGAGAATAGGGGGGTAAATTTGGTATTATAGATAAGTTGGTGGGCTGTTTCAAATGATTAGGTGATTTATAAACGGCCGAATCGTGGTGGATTGACATTTGCCCACGCGCTTACGCGTAGCGTGCTGCGGCGCTGTGTGCTCGGAAGTTTCGGGTTTCAAACGGTAAGAGGGTCTTGGAAGTTTCACGTTTCTCTTCCCCGAAGACCTTTTCTCCTGCTTGTTTTTATTATTTTATTTTCAACGGATATAAATATTAAAACATCTCGGTAAGTTATGTTAATCTTTTTATAAAATAAAATATTAAAATCCAAAAATTTAAAGACTTATATTTAAATGTATATCCATTATCCAATCCATCGTTATAAATATTAAATATATAAAAATAGATTGTTATTTTTACTCCAACTCACTATTATCTATACTATATTATAAAGCATTTGGCTAAAACTCTTAAAACTCTTAAACTCTTAAAAACTCTTAAACCCGTTCATCCCTATCCGATTTCAT